CCGCAGCAGCAGCAGCAGCAGGCCGCCGCTGCTGCGGACGATGCTGCTGCTTCCCCCTCTGCTGCAGCAGCAACTGACGCCCCCACCCACGTTGAGAGGCAGCGCGAGGTTTCCGCTGCTCAGCTTTACTTGCTGCTCACGAACTTGGATGAGTGAGCCTGGCCCTGCAGCAGCAGCAGCAGCAGCAAGAGCAGCAGCAGCAGCAAGAGCAGCAGCACTTAGCACAGCTGCAACCGCAGCGGGCGTGCACCCCGCATCGGGCGGGCACCCCCGCCTGCCTTGCCCTTAGTCAGCGAAGTGTGCAGGATTTAGGGTTTAGGGTTTAGGGTTTAGGGTTTAGGGTTTGGGGTTTGGGTGTTTCTCAGGTTCCCTCGTTTGGCAGCTTTATTTCGGAGCATAACGCGTTCGCTGTTCATCGGGGTGGACATACACCTGGCGCCCGCAGATGCATGCGATCTTTGTGACATAGTTGAGCAGCTACTGCAGCAGTTTGAGGGGCTGCAGCAGCTGCTGTACGAGCGGCCTGCGCCCCCAAAGAAAGCAGCAGCAGCAGCAGCAGCAGCAGCAAGTGCTGCTGCAGACGCAGCGCTCCCGCCCGCAGGCGCGGAGCCCTTCGCGGGCCCCGCTGCTCCCGCAGCAGCGCCGCAGCAGCACCCGCTACAGCTGCAGCAGCTACACATGCAAGGCTTTGCTGCTTCTGCGCCTCTGCAGGATGTCCAGCAGCTGCAGCAGCAGCAGCAAAGACAAGACCCGTTCCTGCAGGGGCTGCAGCACGTGCCACCAGCGCTGCAGCAGCAGCAGCGCAACAAGAGGCGACGCAGTCTCGAGGAAACCGTAGTTTCAGTCGACAGCAGCAGCAGCAGCGACAGCAGCAGCCTCAGCAGCAGCAGCTTGAGCAGCAGCAGCATCAGCTGCAGCACCACGGGGTTCACCACCATGCGCATGCAGCAGCAGCACGCAGAGCAACACCGGCAGCAACTGCAGCAGCAACATCAGCAGCAACAGCAGGCGCTGCAGCAGGTCATCAGCCCTCCGCAGCAGCAGCTCCACTGCCCACCGCAGCAGCAGCAGCAGCAGCAGCAGCAGCAGCTAGAAGAGGGGCCTCTTGAAGAAGATGTTCTAGAAATGCCTTCTGCAAGTCAGTACGGAGTGTCCCGGCCGTGGCATTTGGAGTATCGCAGGACTCGGTAAACCCTAAACCCTAAACCCTAAACCCTAAGCACTCTAGCCTCGTGCGCCTCAGGCGATAAATTCGAGCTGCGGAGCTCAAAGAAGCTGCAGCCTCGCTTTGCCCCAACCCTCAAACCCTCTCCGCCGACCAGCCGACCCCAAACCCTCAACCCTAAACCCTAAACCCTAAACCCTCGCTGCTGCTGCGCGCTGCAGGGGGGCCCCCGTGGAGCCGCCGCTGGCAGCACTGCGGGAAACCGCGCTGCTGGATTCGCTGCTGGATGATTTTGTAAACCCTCGTTTGCAGCTGCAGCAGAAGCACCAGACAACCCACCGGCTGAGCAGCAGCAGCAGCAGCAGCAGCAGCAGCAGCAGCAGAGCCCTCGGCAGCG